TTTTAATCCATCCCCCCTTGTCCTCTCCCTCCCTGCCCTTGTCCCAGGTCCCTCCCCAGCTTTCCTGGAGCCCCTTCAGGCACTGGAAGGTGCTCTAAGGTCTCCCTGGAGCCTTCTCTTCTCCAGGCTGAACACCCCAACTCTCCCAGCCTGTCTCCAGAGCAGAGCTGCTCCAGCCTTCTGAACATCTTTGTGTTCCTCCAACAGCTCCAGGTCCTTATGTTGGGGGCTCCAGAACTGGACACTCCAAGTGGGGTCTCACCAGAGCAGAGCAGAGGGGACAATCCCCTCCCTGGCCCTGCTGCCCATGCTGCTTTTGCTGCAGCCCAGGGCACGGGTGGTCTCTGGGCTCCAGCACATGGAGCTCATGTTGAGTTTCTCATCAACCATCACTCCCGAGTCCTTCTCCTCAGGGCTGTTCCCAATCCTTTCTCCACCCCAGCCTGTATTTGTGCCTGGGATTGCACTGACCCAGGCACTTGTGCAGTTTGTCATGTCCTTCTCAAATCTCCAAATTTCCCAGTTTTTAGCAGCCACCCAAGAAACGTGACAGGACAGGAGCAGAAACCCACCAGGGGCCAAGAACACAACATTTTCTAAATTCATGTTTTTCCCTGCAGTATTGAAAACCTTCACCCCCACTGTGTCTCTGACCTGTGGACAACCTCAACAACCCACTCACAGCTTGTCAGCACGTGGTCTCCACCACAAATGAGCCACTAGTTAATTTGTAAAAATCACCTGGAAAAATTGCTTAGATGCAGAATTGAGGCATGATCTCTTTCCCCTGGTACCTTGTATTCCTGAGGACAGACTGGTGTGTTTTGCCCTGGTCCCTTAAGAAAGCTGAAACTAAGTCCCACTTTTTGGAAAGCTTGCTAATATTTAAAATGTGTCAGTTTGCTTACTTTTTCTTTTAAGATGTAGGTGCAGTCTGCCTGCTCAATGACAATATTATACCTTTTAAGTCATCAATATTAATATCAAAACCAGATGATCCTAATCCAGCCTGTCCTGCCATCATCCCACCTAATGAGACTGAGCCCTGAGCTCTGGGCTGAGCTCGTTTAGCACTTTTTGCCTCTTTGTGATCTCACTAATGAAAAAACCCACAACATTAACACAATCTTTTTAACAAGGAGGTGTCCTGATTTGGGCCCAAGAGGACAACAAAGACCCAGCCCTGTGGCCTCACTCAGCTCCCTCCTCACACACCCCCTGGGATGGGGAGGACAAACCCAACTAGAAGCTCATGGGTTGAGACAAAGGACAAGGAGGGTTCTTCACTGATTAAGGTCCTGGGCAAAACAGACTCAAGTGGGGGAAAAGTAATAATTTAATGTCACACTCATCCAACACCCCCAGGACACAGAGCAGGGCTTGCAGATGTTCCCCCCCCCTCCCTTCTTCCCACCCAAATCCCTTTGTTCCCGGTTTCTCTCCCTCCTTCCCCTCAGCAGCACAGGGGGACAGGGATGGGGTTTAGAGTCAGTTCCCAGGCTGGTGGGTCCTGCTGCTCCTTCCTCCTCAGGAAGGATTCCTCACAGTCCTGCCCTGCTTCCCCACCGGGTCTCTCCACGGGATCTTCACCCCAGCACTGCCTTTCACCTCTGGGCTCAGCCCTTCTTTTCTAACTGCTCAGTCCTTTCCTATGTTCACGGCAGAGGTTCAGCTGTTGTCCCTCTAACGGCTCCTTGGCTGGTTTTGGAGCAGGGGGAGCTTCTCAGCTTGTTACAGGAGCTCCCCTGGGGCCCTTTCCCGGCTACCAAAAAAAAACCCCAGACCAGCAGAGGAGGAACTGGTAGGATTTCACCCAAGCACCTCGTGGTGTTCCGGAGCAGGAGGCACAACCCCAGAAGGCTCAGGGGCAGCCTCGTCCCTCATTTCATTGCTTTGAATGAATTTGTACCATGGTCTAAATTCTCCCCATTGCTGCTCTGGACCAGCCAGGAGCTCCCAAGGAGTATCTTAATTCTGAAAAATTATTGTCAAACTATTTCAATTTGAATCATTCTTTTTGGGTGATGTTAAACCATGGATTCTTGTTAGCCCTGTGATGATGCTCTGGGTGCTTCTCAGGAGCCTGGCCCACATGTTGGAAGGTGTGTGGGGTGGAGAGAGCTCACAGTCGACCCAGGGACCTCTTGGTGGGTTTGGACCACCCTTTACCAGCTGGCACTCAGCTCTGCATCCCCAGCCAGGACAGCTGAGAAGCCAGACTGACTCCTGAGTGCCTGATTCGGAACAGAAAAGAAACGTCCTGCTTCGTGCAGAGTCTGTGGTTGGGATGAAGGAGGACGGCCAGCAGGAGCTGGTGGGCAAGACAATAGCCCTTTGTCTGGGGCAGAGGGAAGGACAATGAAGCTCCTGTTGAGGATCAGGCACAGGGAGGCACCACCCCAGCACCAGGGCTGGAGCAGCGTGGGCAGAGGGGACACACAGCACACAAGCAGCAAAGCAACCTCATATCTTTTTGCGTAGCACTGATTGTGAGTGTGCAGAGAGAAAAAAAACAAAAAAAAACCAAAACAAAATCAGAGCAAAAAGAAAGATTAAAGGAGTGCTTTTTTTTTGGTAGTAAAATGAGAGCAAGCACAGGAGCAACCATATCAAGTGAGAAGGTACCAGGGTCTTGTCCTTGTCTCTCTTGATGGAAACAGCCCCTGTAATCATCTGAGCAGCAACATACATGTCCAGGCTCAACCTTTACTGAAATTAATGGTCCTCCTGTGTCCAGGGTGTCCTGGTCAGCTCCCTCAGCACAAGCAAACAGCATCTGAGCTCAGAACTCCTGTGCCTGCAGCCAGGAGCCTTGATTTTGAGGAGTGGGGTGTAAAAAAAAACAACAGTGGGATTAAGGGGACATCGTATGTGCCACAGCACAGCATTGTCTGGTAACTGGGGGGGAAGGGTATGGGAAAGACCTCAGAAGTCAGGAAAAGATATACAACCCCCTCATCTGGTGGCCCTTTCCCCCCTCCCCTCTGTCTGTGTCCCCGCCGCAGGGACATCTGCTCTCCCTGCCCAACACCTGCCCCAGTGGGAGGGATGGAGGAGATCCTGCCCTCCCTGCCTGGCCAGAGCCTCCAGGGATGTTCAGTCTGTCGTGTTTCAGACACCAGAGGGGAAGGGCTTTGCTGGGTAAAGCTTGGAAATGCTCTGGAACAGCAGGAGTTTCTTACCCCATGTTATTAAGGAGGGAAAAGCAAACAACCCCTTATACCTTGGACGTTCCATGGGATGGAACAGGATGGGGTCCATCCCATCACACCTCCCAAGACAGCAGTTTTGCCCCCTAAGACTTTAACTTCAACATATTAGACCCTTGGGATTTCTTATATTCTCAACACCACTATCTGCTCCCCTAAAGGCTTTGGCCGTCCCATGGGGAGCCAGCCCTTTTCCTACAGGAGAAACCTTGCTCCTGCTGGCCTGCTCGATGGACCAAGAGCCCTCAAGGAGCTGGGACCAGTGAGGAACTGCTTGCAACCTTGGTCCATTCAACATCCCCCTGGAAATGTTTGGGTGCCCTCAGCCTGGGTCAGAAGGATCTCCTGGACCCTTCTGGTGTGGGCGGGCATCCTGGATGAGGCTGGACAGGGCAGTTTAATCCTCATTAGTGCTCTCAGGGCTGTGATGTTCTCAAGATCAGGGGCCTGAAAATTAATCTGAACTATGGGCAGAAAACACCAGGTGTTAGAAATGGGAGAAGATAATCTGCTGGGGAAGTGGGTTCCCATCCCTGCCTGTCCAGAGCAGGGTTTAAACAAGCCATGGTGGTTGCACTGGTGAAACAGTGGGTGATTTTGCTGCTTACTCCATTTCTGTGGAGACCATTACTGAGCAAGATAACTGTGACTCTCAGGAAATACAGAGTGAATTCAGTCTTTCATCCATATGCTTATACATTTCCCTCATGTTACCTAATAAGTATATGGGAGGGGAGCCAAAGGAGCAGGTCCCTGGTCACTAGCACCATCCGGCGTTTGGAGCTGGAGGTGCTGCTGACATCTATTGTCAGCTCTGGTTATTTATACATTTCAAAGTGGATGTTTATGAGCATGTAAACAAATTGAGATGAACAAATGGGTCAGTGCAGGGTCACGACAGTGTGTCTTACCCTGGCTGGCAGGTTTCAGCTTGCTCCTATTTTCTAATTTACAAATTAAACTGAAAACCCTAATTCCTGAGCTCGCTCCGGAGCACTGGGCTTAAGCTGGTTTTGTGTTCCCCTCTTTGATCCCCTTGTTCAAAAATCAGGGAGTTGCAGTGTTCCTCAGGGTTTAACAAAAAGGCACATTGTGATGAAATAATTCTTTACATTTACAAGAAATCAGTGCAAAATTGAAACCAACTTTAGAGGAATCACAGCAATAATAACAGCGGGGTTTCCAGCCAATTGTACCCCTGAAGAGGTTCTCCAGGCTACACCTTTAGCCCCAAGACTCCAGAAATCCCCGTTAACACGGTGTAACATCACACCACGGGCAGTGACACGACCACTTGAACCTTGTCTAAAATCTATTCTCAATGCTTTATGTGACCCTGCTTCACTATGCTAAACTTTGCTAGTAATTCTAGTGCTGGACTGAAGCCTTTGTGGCCATAGAAGTGAGTAATTCCGTGGTGTGTTTGGGACGGTGCAGGCACAGCTCCCCCAACACCCGAAGCCCTGCACAGTGCTGTTTTAAAGAGAATTCTATTCTTTTTTTATTAGAGCAACACTAGCAGGAAAAAAGACACCTAACAACTACCCAACACAACACAGATGAGTTTGTGGATATGGAATGAGTGGCCAGATGGTCAAGGGAGGGGATTCTCCCCCGTGAGAGACGTTTGTGGCACCAATGAACAGGCCCACACATACCCTCCAACAAAGCAGTTTATTTACACTCCTGCAGGAATGGGTGACCTAAACAAGCAGGCACACCCATAGGCAGGTGAATAAGGTTTCTATTCCCTATTCCCAAAGTCCCCTCCCGTGTCCCCACTCCCTGGGCACTCCAGGGCTCACAGCCCCTCCCACGCTCCCCATGACCCTGTCAGTTTCCCGCCCCTGCTCACACATCCCATCCTAGCAGGTCACTTTTTACCTCTTCAGGTAAAATTCTGACCTTTCTTGCCCCCTTGGCTGCCTCCCCAGTTAACAAACCCACTGGTGTCACCTGCCCTGAGCAGCAGGACAGAAGGGGCTTTGTTGGCTCTGACCTTGGGCCATCAATCCTGCTCCGTGCTGGGATCCCCAGGTGGAGCCCAATTCACTCCCTCAGCTCCTGGGGCCGCAAACCCCTCCTGGTGTCCTTGGGACGTGCAGAGACCTCACGGGTCTCAAACAAACTATAGATTTAAACCCTCCTGGGGTCAGAGACCTCACGGGTCTCAAACAAACTATAGATTTAAACCCTCCTGGGGTCAGAGACCTCACGGGTCTCAAACAAACTACAGATTTAA